CGCAATTTGTGTTTATAGATTGATTTATTTATCGTTTTTTTTATTTTTATTTTTTCTTTTTCGAAATGGTTAAGTTGGGTGGAGAGACGAGAGAAAAGCAAGAAAAGAAGATATTGTAGGCTAAAGGTGTTTGTCATAGGCTAAAGAATTACATGTAAATATTTTCGACTGTCATTTTATTTGTTGTTGTTATTGTTGTTGTTGTTGTACTAGAGAAATTAAAATATAAATGCTTTTACATGTCGCATATGTATATGTATAAGATGACAGCTTTTCCTTAAGGGTTTCAAATACGTTTCATTAGCTCCATACATTTTCTTAATATATATATATATATATATTAATGACTTCAAAAGGAGATTGAAATATTTTTACAGGCAGGTTTGCGAGTACTCTATACATTTATTATTTACCCTCCACGAATTTTATGATTGATCCTCTAAAGGCCGCTCAAAGTGTCACAACTTTTTTTATCCTTTTTCTCTTTCTCACCCTTCATTTTATATACATAGAGGTGAATGGTCCTTTTTCAGAGACTAAGGCATCTTGCAATATCTAAAGCCTAGCGGAAAATCTTTGATGAATGTTGGAAGTTTATCTTCTAAATCTTCCAGTTTTTATACGTTATTCGTGTTTGCAACACGCAGAAGGGCTTAAGATAGACCTACCTTTTATAATACCGATCGACTCAAAATCATTTCTAAGCATGCTTGACGGTTTGTCCATTTATCTGTCTGTCCATCTAAGGTCTGTTTATGTAAATTTGTTTTCGAACCACAGGTCGCAATTTTCGAGATCTTTTGCTGAAATTTGACACACTGAAGTGCTTTAAACCAATACGAGTGCTATTCAAAATGGTTTGGATCGCTCCACTTTTTCGATCACTCACTAAATTTTCGACATTCTAAATTGGCAATTTTTTGAACTCTCTCTTATGTAATCCTTTCCCACGAAAATTGAATCTTAATACAATTTTTAATACTTAATGGTGAACATCATTTCGTAATCAGTAATTTGGAACACGTTGGCCTATTTTTTGGATTTCTCCAATATGCGGACATTCATGAAAAGTACGACTTTGCATGAACGTTATGTTTAACTGTTGGTGTATTATTGACAAAAAGGAGTGAATAACTATAGTAGGCGAAATTGTGTAGGATAAAGTACACTTGGTCTCACCTGACTATAATGTTCTTACTTCGTTTTACTTTCGTTTATGTTCGAAAAACTTTCTAGGGTGAACTTCACACTCGGACTGAAAATTCTTATTATCGACGAACCCAGGAAATATAAAAGTCGTGTTTTCTTTTCTAATTTGTTTCTCTTACGTTCTTTCTCTCTATTGTACGCTCATCATAAAAAACAAGCTCCATAATCCGAAAAAGTGTTAGAATCAGAGAACTAGAACTTATGGAGTGACTAATACATGAAATAATCATAAATATGTTTGATTAATGGGAGGTTTTTGTGGAAATTTGGAATATCTACGGAAAACGGAGCAATATTCAGAGTCTGATGGAGTTAGCAGTGGAAGCACTGTGTACCAAGGGATGTCAATATGCTAGCAAAAAAATAACAGACGAACGTTGAGAAAGAGTGGAAAACTGCGAGCAAAAGGAAGTCTTCTTAATATCATTTTTTTTATTGGCCCTAACCTATTAGTTATAGTACACGATTTCTCGACTAATATAGGTTGAGAGACTATTGGATCTGCAAAAGATCTCAGTTAAGACAACAAACTTTAGTTGGAATGGTTCCCCTAAGAAGGCAGTGAAAACGAGTAACGAATGGCTTGATATTTTCCCAATGAAGTGGTTTCGATGCTTATCTTGAAATTGCTACGTGTGCACTCGCATTTCATAACAACACACCGATCGTATTGAATATAAGCGGAAGAGTGTCTTCAAATCCAAGTGGTGGGTATTTAAAATTCGTTAGAGACGAATAAATTTTGTTCTTTTTTATTTTTATTTGTATTTTTTTTTTGTTCATTTTGTTATCTTTTTTTTGTGGATTTCTATTTGGATGCACAGTCGTACTTTGGGGTAATTTTGTCATAATTTTAATTTTATTTTTATTTTGCAAACCCTACTACACGCAATGAATATTTTATTAATATTTTTTTAAAGGTCTAAGAAAGTTTCAACCCTTTTGGCTAACATTCCTTTTGTTTTTCTAAGGAATTTTCTTAATATTTATTTATGTAATTAATTTAATTGTCTTGCTTGCGAGAGATCTCTGCTTTTCTCACAAACATATTTTCAGTGAACACATTTTTTACTCTTTCATATATATATATATGTATATATATAGATGTGTGTTGGTTTTATTTTATTCTTTTTCTTTTCTTTTCATAATATCAGAGATTTTTATCTATTATTTACTATAAAATTTCATTTTAATTAAATTTATTACGTTGGCAATATATGTATTTACGTACGTTTAAGTTTTCATATGTTGAGCTGTTATTTACAGTGCTAAAATTTTAGAGTACGTGATGGATTGAGTGCAGTTTACATACTTGATTACATACATACATACATACATACATACATACGAATGTATATTTGGTGCTGTGAAAGAGTTCTTTTTAAAAAACGCACTGTAAATAATTTTTTTTTTTTTTTAAAATTATTTTATATATATATTTGTATATATATTTATATATATATATATATATTTGTATATATATTTATATATATATATATGCGTTTGCGTTCCGATGATTCTTTAATTAAAATTAAATAAACAATTATTATTATTAGTTTTTGGTTCACATTAAATAGTTTCTCTATGTTGTACATACATTCTTCAATTAATATTAATAATATTTTATATTATGCTTCGGATTTCTTTCTCTGGTGGTTTCGAACAGTTAAAACTTTTTTTTTTCTTATTTAATTATTTATTTATTATTATATGAACGTTTGTAAGGTTATCATTTTCATTTAGGTTTGTGTGTGAGTTTTTTTTTTTTTTTTTGCCTCCGTAGAAAGGTGGTCAGCTCTCATTTTCTATTTTCTGCATTTCTTTCATTATTTACATAATTTTTTTCATTATGACATCATTATTAAAAAGAAAGAAGAAAGTATTTCATTCGCTTCGATGCGAAATTTTGATCCCCACCACCGCGAACTAATCTGTAACGATTACAGAATAACGATACCCTACTCCTTGTGACACAGGCTATATTAAGTTTGTCCGGACGTAAAAATACCCAGACGGCCTTAAGATAAATCTACATTTTTTTAAGTTTGTCTGTCCGTTCGATGTCTGTTCATGAATAATTTAATGAGGACAAGCAATATCGAATACTGTTCAGATGGGTCTACTTTCTCGACCATTCGTCATATAGCGCCTCATTTAAAATGTCGTGGCGTATGGCCAAAAATTGCAATTTTCGAATTTTTTCGACAAGAATAATTGTGTAATAGTATGTCGGCATTCTACATCGATACGAAAAATTTGGCTCGGCTGGGACAATTTTTTTAACTTCGTCTCATATAATCGCTCCCACAAAAATTCAGTCTTTATATGATAAAAAGACATCATATCAAATATTTCCTGGTTCATAACAGTAGCTTGACAAAGAAAATAATTTTACCGAATATGGATTTCGTAGGTCTATTTTTTGAATATAAGCAAGCCTAGGAATTTTAAACTTTTATATACCAAAGAAGCCAAATTATTAATGTTTTATGATTAAAATTCCTTCATGGTAGTAATTTGAAATACAAGTGAAATGGAGCAAATTTGAACCGCATGGGTTCCCCCATATAAGATTTCTCAAGAATAGCAGAAAAAAGTTGCAGTCTTAATATTTTACGATGACAGTTTTATGATGAACATAACTGCACAGGGCGAATTGGAATAGAGTATCTAATGGGCGGCGTTACACGACTCCAATGTTCTCGCTTGCTTTTTAATTCTGACCGTACCAATTGACTCAGCCTAGGCGGTTTTTTACCAGAACTATTAGAAATATCTCTTATATCATCCTTCGTGGTAAGATGCTGGTAAGTTTTAGTTTCGATTTTGAGCGTTTGTGTAAGCGGGACCGGCAAGGAAACATATCTGCTAAGTGTCTGTTTTCGATGTTTGCACTTCCATCCTTCCCAATAGATAGACGTAGATAAATCCTTATATGTAAGCACATATTTTGTAGTGTCTGTGATGCTTTCTGCGTGTGGCCAGCGGAAGAATACGTTTAGAATATTCTCATCATTTGGCAGTGGATATAAAAATTGTATTTACAAATCAACTTTTATATGCTAAATAGAAGGAAAGAATAAAAAATCTTTATTTGCTTAGAGTCTAGCATTCATTTCTCATCATCATTACTAATGTAGCCATATTTGGTGGTTTATTCGGCATTTACTTCACTCTAACGTTTAGACAAATTGATACCTGATTATTGATGGAAATATATTCGAAATTATTTGGCTGTACACTTTTTTTGGAGTCTCTTGCGCCTATTTATAGTAGGTATTACATATACGAATCTTATCGATTGTGGGCAGGAATATATAATAATTACCACTTGAAGTTTATTTCGTAGGGAGAAGAAAGGAGAAACTTATGAAAAAAGGTTCAAAGAAGAAATTTAAGAAATCGTTGAAATTTGATAAAGGAAAGATTGCTACTGTACCGAATCAACTGGGAGTTATTTTTAAGATGAATTAAAAAATGTAATTGGGCTGAACACTTACATACTGTGAGATGTGTCGTCGTGACTCTTCTCCCTTTTCAAATATATATATATATATATATATATATGTAAAAGTGAGTTTTATGTTAATTAAGAATTTTTATTTTTATTTAATTTATTTATTTATTTATGATCAGCTAATGACTCAATTTGTGTTTTATGTAAATTAATAAATTTATCAAAATTTTTTTT